TTGTTCTCAATGTATTTCTCTCTCTCTCTTCTTCCGTTACTCTTGTTACATGTACGGTATTCAACCCGGTTTCTCTCATAAACGACGCCAACTTGTTTAGGTTTTGTTCTGATTTTTCATATAAACTGGATCAGTCAAAGCCTATAAGGGGTGACTCTTGACTTTGAAGATATTTAGGTGGGAGGATGACTCCTCCTCCACCCCCCCCCCCTTCCCCGCGGGTGATTCCTAAAAAAGGATTATTTGGACTCGCAAACTTCGCAATCACATGTTGTGCTTATATAATTTTTTATATAGCTTTTCATCACGCATTTTGGATAAAAAATATTTAATAATTGCGAGTACTTGAACTAGTTGAACATCAGTGCATTCTATGTGCTGAAAAAAGATGCCAAAACATTGACTCGTGGAGTTACATCTGTTATGAGCATGAATGTGAAACTAATATTTTTTTTATCACCTCACGACTAGCGTTGACATCCTCACTACTAGGTTGTTTGATTGCATCATGGGGAAAATAAAGGATCATTTTCAAGATGTTTGAGTGAATGCTAAAATTCATATGGAATTTAGTACAAAAGAATCATCGAGAAAAATTCCTATAGGATTCTCTCCTACAAATCAAATGACTATCATAGGAACACTAAATAACTTTTGAATCGCTGCAGATGTTTCTATGCTTTGTATGAAATCTCTTTACCCCTGCAAAAAAAAATCTTTTAAATTTTCTATAAAATGGTTCTCAGGTACAAACAATAAATTGCGAATAAACACTAACTATCTGTAGGTGAGATTCGGCTAGCCACTCAGACTCTAGAAAGGTGCACAAGGCTGTGCAAATTCAGGTGCTCATGATCATGTACCCAAAACTCTAAATCCAATTCAAACAGAAGACATGCGAAGAGATAGCCTTCAAGAACATCTGAAGCCTTCTATCAGCGAAAAACATCTCATCCAAATCTACAATTTCAATTTGCTAAAAGAACTGCATCACAGCCACTTGCCTGGAATGTCATGCTGTCATGGCATCACATCGACGAATAACAAAGTTACCTAACACATCACATACCTTAGTGTAACAGACATGCACCCAAGTCATATCATATATCGAGAGAGCAGGATTACAGACCGACGGAAACAACACGCCGGTTTGGCACAAATGCACCATCAAGCATTACTAGAAGCACAAACAGAACACACAAGAGGCCAAACAAATGCCATCTTCTCAACAACAATATTCTGACGTCTGACATACTTTTTAGTTTTTACCAAGCGCTGTTAAAGTTTGTTAACGCACATAGAAATCGCTAAAGATAACATCCGATGATTAATTCAGCACCTTTTGCAAGGTTAGCATCACATTTGGCGACTTGTACAGCCACATTGAGCCGCGAACATTTACAAAATGCTAAAGAACCAGCATGTAGTCACAGCAACAAAGAACCTGGGTACCTGCACAGCAAGCAATCTCATCAGCAGAACTGATTTCGACTACTCAGGAGGGGCAAAAGAAAGACATTCAAAAAATATCTGCAAGTGTAAACAGCAATAGGAAAACAAGTGTCTACGAGTTAACATGCAACAAAAAACAAACAATAGGCCGCCAGAGGCGAACATGTACTGCAAGTGTGGCGGTACATTTGTACAGGACAGAGGTAGTACCATGTAAATGCCAGGGGCGTATATAGAAAATGCAGATTTTAGAAATGATATAGAACTGACTGACATGATGAATTGCGTCAAGCTAATACATCAGCATCAAGCTAGTACATCAGCAGAATGAAGTGCCCAGATCCAGCTCCAAGAGAAAACTCGGATAAAGTCTGGGAGATATAGTCATCTAATCTAAGACTATTTCAAGGATGAGTGCTCTGGAGCAGTCGATTTGCAAGTATGCATAGGAACCTACGAAGAGTGTTGTACGCCCAGCACTTGGTTTGACTTTTGATTCACTTGGTGAGGCATATGACTACTACAATTTGCACTTCTGGGAGATCGGTTTCGGAATTAGATATGGTAAGAGTAGACTCAACGCCGAGAGGACAATGTGCATGCACGAAATAGTCTGCGGTTGCTCGGTGAGTACCGATTTTTGATTACCTACGTATGAAGCTAAAGTGGTAGGCAAGGGCGGACCTAGACTGAAGATTACCCGGTCTCCACATAGAAGGGCACATCAAAAAATCAATGACCTACACACACTAAATCAATGGATTATCTTAAGCAAGTGTAGATTGGACCCGGTGCCAGTGACACCGGGTAGCTGTACGTAGCTACACCCCTGGTGGTAGGCGTGCCTTTGCTGCGCAATTATTGTAAAACTGTACCGACTTTCTGTTTGTTGTAATGTATGCAGGGGAAACCAGAGGCAGAAAATAGTAGATCGTGCAGGTGCTAGTGTCCGTTGTTGATTAGATTTTTGCGAGCGTCGGACATCAGCTGGTAAGGGCGGTAGTCCAGGTCGTATGGGCAAACCTGAGCCGTCTCTAGCTATGGCTGTACTTCACGTCTGCGTGTGGGGCCGCTGTGCGGAACTTGTCGAGTGTTTGGAAGGGGGATTTGATGAGCAGTGAGGCTGAGAAGTAGTGGAAAGGGACCTCATGGCAATGGCGTGTGCGGCGGCTGCGACTTCTTGCGGCGGAACAGCGATGGAAGGCAGCGGGATCGAGTTCCCGCTGGATCTAGTTGACCGGTGAGTTTCTTTACCCTAGTGCCCGTCTATGGATTTGTGTGCTTCCGTGAGTTTCCCAACTTCCAGCCGCAGCTTTTGACTCTAGCTGTGGCGCAGGCGAAGATTTATTTGGAATGTGAGTGAGACATTTTTAAAAATTCAAAAGTGAGTGCTGATTTTGAGGAATTATGATTGAAGCTGATTTGTATGTTGTCATAAGTCTGTATGTGACGCAGACTTACAAACGACTGGGCTTCTGCCATTGAGAAGGAATGCAGCCAATGAGAGAGCATTGGAATGTTGGCGTATTTGTGACCTATCTAGGGCGGCACTGGAGTGGGTTGATCAAGCCAACAGTTATCCCCATCGAACTGAAGGTTACTATTGTGTCACACATTTTATCATGGTTTGTGTGTGGTGCTTAGTTATCTAATGCAGTTCATTTCTTTTGAAGTTGCTGGTGTGCAAGCAAGGAATATGCAGACCATGGTCTGAGATGTGGAAAACATTGGAGGTGAGTCCCTTTTGGTAGAGATCAGTTGTTGACAGGGACAAATCGATTATGTATTTATGATGGTTCGACTTAAGGGAGATCCTCATGGCCAGCGGATTATTTGTGCTGACGCAGGAGCAGCTCTGATGAATGGGGTACAGTGCGATGACAACAATGCTGCTATGGGTGAAGATGGTGTGAGCAGGGAGAACTCAAGCTGAGCTTATCCTGTGATGCATAAATGTTATGGAAGGGCACTGCTGGATCGGAACACGTGCACTCGGAGTTTGGTGTTGATCAGAATAAAATGTGATAACTAGTTTTGTTAATCTGTGTGTTGTAGTATGAGTATTTTTCTGGTGTGTTTCAGTGAGCATTTGCTCCACCCTTGTTCCTCCAATTCGGTATGTGAGGTCAAACTGTGGTGTGCACATGGTTGGGAGATAGCTAATTGCTCTGATATGGTCTATATGTGAGTGATGAGGACTTATGTCTTTCCTGCATTTTGAGATAACCACACAGTGCCGCTGTTGGAGGGTGGGTTTGTGCCCAGTGGGATCCAAAATCTGAAAGCATAAGACTGAATGCCTAGGTGCTGCTTTTGGTAGCCAGCAGAAGAGATTTTAAACCGAAGAACATCAATTGTTGGAATGGCACCACCCGAGTCGGAAGCAGCTGCAAACGGCACGACCATGAGGTCTGCCGGCATGGACGACAGAACAAATATGGAGGGTCGGAAAAAATCTTTCTCTGATCTGGGTGTTGCGTCGAGGTTTACTTTTGCCTCGTCGAGAGTTTTTTATCCGGGTGTTTTCGGTGTTCACTGGCTCTTTTACGACGAGCTCGTCGGCGGCCGCGTGGAGCACGACCAGCAGCCTGCCGGAGCAAGCGGGGAAAGTTGCATACGAGGTGAGCACCGGTAGTTCATGCTTCGTTTTTTTTTTTTGGGAACGACATGCTTCGTTCTTTTGGTGAGCACGTGCAGTATGAGGACGCCATGACTTTCAGGGTGAAGTTGTCCAGATGGAGCGCCGTGCAGCCAACAGTGAACACGACCCAGAAGGGCGATGATACGGGCGTCCGTTATATTGGCCGTGGCCTCGGGATGGCTCAGCCTGCCTCAGGAAAAAGACTGGGCCGTGCCCGTTTCAGCTGATCCACGATTGCATTAACTTCTGGCGTTGAAATAAATGCGCCAGCGCAGCTGCCCATATCAGAGACGATACACACCGAATACTGACTGTAATACATTCGAGGGCGCAGATCTTTATGCGAACGGACGTGTTTGATTTCGGGATCAGCTGATCACAGGGGCGGCGCCAGGGGTCTTCTTGGGTATTCGGTTGAATACCCAAGATTTTGACAAACCATTGAAATTTTATATAAAACTGGCAATTTTTTTTGCAAAATAGTGATGATTTGGGCAAAATGAATACTCTCCTTTAAAATGAATACCCACCCTCTAGAACCTGGCGCCGCCACTGGCTGAGCACGGTCTCAGAATCGAATATCCGAGATATAGTCATCTAATCTAAGACTAGAGAAAGAGAAGTGAAGACTTCTCTATCAAAACTTTGTTGCTGAGAAAGAATAGGACAAGGGCAAATGAAACGATCACGTTGTTCAAGGGGAAAAGGATCAGACTGCATTCTGTGTAACACTGGCACTGCAGTTTCTTAGGTCTTACCATTTGCAAAGAATATTGGTCCGTTGAACCACAAAATTATCAAATAACGCAAGCAAACCAGTAGACAGGTAGTAAAAGATACTATTACATGATACATCACCTCTTAGACCAGAGAAGTGTGACAGAAGATGTGAAAGCACAATCATCTCTCAACTGCCGTTCAACAGTACAGCTTGATCATCTCCACCACCAGTGGTGATTCCTATGAGAAGAATGAGTAAATAAACCAATGACATCATGGGCAATAAAACAACTGAGAAGAGCTTTTGCTGCAAAATTGGGAACGATTAAAAAATTGCATATAATACAATATTAAACTAATTCACCAAGTCACTGTACACCAACTACCTCAAAACGAAAGATATGTCATTCAGCAATTCACTTTACCAGGAATCATTTTTAGAACTGTTTAGGTGTGAGCTCATTCCTTGTTATAAGTCCAGAGAAGAGAGAACAGAGCATACACACAATTAAGTTTCGGCATAATACATCAAAAGGAATATGAGAAAATATGCCCTTCTACTCACCTGAACAAAGAACGCTAAGCAGAGAATTAAGAAACAAAAATACCACCCTCAATCCCCACATAATATGAAGCTTAAGCAATTAACATTAACAAGACACCATATTGACATTAAAATCCACTAGCTTAAACTGAAAGAAAATCTCAGTCGCTTGCTTCCTGAATTGATCAATTCTCATGTGTCAGTGTTTATATTATCCAGTGCCACGACAAGGCCACAAGAACGGAACGGTTATAAATTGCTGGTGGGGAACAGCTATATTGTTCTTTTAAGTGAATTGCAAGCGATTTATTTTACTAGCTTCCTGACTGATTAGATCTAAATATGTATGGAACAGAGGAACATCAAGAAATTGCTATCCCCGTGCTACAATTAGGCTAGTATATCCATTGATATGTTGCAAAAAAATGGTTGGATTTGGGTCCGGATGCAAAAACACGCGAAACAGTTGCAAGGAAATATGAAAGGACTACCTATACATTGTTTGAGTTGTGAAATACCAAAAGGGTAATTTTCCAGCACATGAACGATTAATTGGTAAACTTGAACAACAATGATTAGTTTGATAAGAACACTACATAATGAGGGGAACACGAGAACCAGCAGCAGGGCAGGAGGAATAGGCAAAGTATAAATGGTTCATCATTTAGTAAGCAGTTCTTTCCAAAGGAGTTCATGAAAACTTGTCACCCGTAGTGAAGTGAACAGTAGCTCATGCACTTGAAAACACTAACATGGTAGATGCAATTTGGAGAAAATGAAGTGAACTTTGCAACATCGAAATAATGGCAATACCTGGGGTGTAGAAACTTGTGTAAGGAAAGACAAACCAATAGGTCCCTTTCTCTGACACCTCCTCAATATGCATGGAGTTCAGATGGATCATATAGATGCTTGGATACACATAAATGAAGATCACATTAGCGTCTTCAGCGTAGCCAACTGGAAACACTCGATTCATACACGCTGCCACTACTTCTGGTGCAAGAAGTTTCTCCAGATCAATGACCCTGCGATGTGTCCATGATCTTACCCCATCGATGCTAGCTGCCCTTGACCAGAAATGAAGGCTGAATTGATCAACACCGGCAAAACCTAGACCACCATCCTCTATCAGTATGATGATAATCTGTCCGGCATATGGCACCTCGATGAAATCCAAGCTATTCTTATCCAAATCTAACTCAATGATGCTATCATTTTCAGACAGCCAGTAAAGTGTGCTTCCAAGCAGAGCTGTCGGGCTTGCATCAACTATTGAATCTCGAATATGAATCGAAGTGATCTCACCCCAAACGCCGGTCTCGGACGAGTAGACGCAGGCAGAGGTGATGAGATCTCTGTGGTTGCTGAACACGAATGCCACGAGGAACGGGCACCAATGGCAGTCGCCGTGGTCCGAGTGGCCAGCCGCGCAGAGAACCGCGCCATCGTACTGGACAATCTCCAGATGGGCTTGAGTGGGGAATGGTAGGTAGCGCTCGTCGCCGGTCATGGGGTCCCAGACGAGGAGCGTCCTGGTGCGGTTGTTGTGCAGGAGGGCGCGGCCGTGGCGGCAGTCGAGGGTCCGCCACTCGCCGTGGCGCATCGAGGCGGTGGAGAGCGCGAAGCCGCCAGAGGTGGGGACGAAGAGGGAATGCCCCAGCTGGTTGTGGAAGAAGCCGAGCACGGGAGGCGTGCCCCCGTGGAACTCGCGGAAGCGGCGGCGGAAGCGGGCGTCGTGGACGAGGCTGCGCCAGTGCTTGGAGACGACGGAGGCGCGGAAGAGGTGGATGGGCTCCGGCGGGAGGCGGAGGAGGATCTCCCTGAGCAGGTCATCCGGGGGAAGCTGAAGCGGGGACGGATCGGCACGGCTGCGGCCGCCGGCGAGCTCGCCGGGGTTTGGAGATTGGGGGAAATGGTGTCGATCGAGGGTTTCAGTTTGGGGATTGGGGAAGAAGTGTTGCCGTGACATTCTCTTCTGGTTAACTGTTTATTCACCATGGAGGAATTGACGTTCTGGTAAATCTACGTCAGATTGAGCAAACTAGGGAATTCCCTTTTCTACCCATCCTGAATCCTGAAAAAGCAAACCGATATCCCTTTTTATTTTGCGAAAAGATTAGATCTATCATAAAATTTCCCCGGATATACAAAGCATCTCAAACATAATGAACATTACACCGAGATTCCGAGACCATCGAACGACCACTGCTGCCACCAAAACGAACCGTCGAATCGCCGATGTTGCCGCTTCCCTACCGGAGTCGGCTTGACCTTGTCGATGATAGTCAGGAAGTCTTCATGCACTTGCCTCGAAGAACCACCGCCCTGGAGCCGCAGTCATCGCCCTTGAACCTCTTGCATAGATCCGAAGCACATGACACCAAATCTCGCCACATGACGAGAAACGCTAACCTCACGGCCCCAAGGAGACGGCAAGAATCTACGCCGGAGCTCCGTCGACTACGACCCGATGAACGAAGTCGGAGCCTGGAAGAGAAACTCAAAGAAGAAGCGCCACCATCCCCCTGAGCCCCGCACCTGCAAGGGCTACAAAATGCTAACCTAAACCACTAACCGGAGCGAAGGCACCGGGATTCCCCTCCCAGCCACCGGCCGTCGGAGCGGCAGGAGAGGGGAGGCGAACCCATGAACTCGCCGGTGAAGTTTGGAGGGGAGGAGTTTTGTAACATCTCGGAGCTTTTCCATAGTTAAAATTGGTTTTATTAATTTAATAATTAATTTGAATACATTTTTTATACATTTTTAAATGATGAATAAATAAACCCCTCTCCTTTTTGGTGTTTGGTTTTTGAGACTCAATCCGAAACTATCAGACACGATCTTGTTGTGATATTTGGGAGGTACCCAAACTATTTCGTAACATTTGTGCAAGCCTAGCTATCATCCGTATGAAAACCTTTTGTTTATTATGGAAATGGAGATATTTTATAAATATATGCCAAACGGTCTTTGATATAGTTAGGATAATTTATGTGGTCTCGGAATGTCTAGTGAGGCTACGTTTCAAATTTCATCCAAAACGAAGTTCGTTTGCTACCCAAATCTTTAAATATGCGAGACATATTTCTCAGTCTAAATAATAAAACATTGACGAATAAAACTTGTTGTTTGGCCGAAACCTCCTACTGCACAGCCATAGTCCACCTTAGCTCCACCTCACTTACCTCAGATCAGAGTCGTCGGATCACCATCCAACGGATAGGAGCAAACCACCCAAAGCCACCTCTCCTAAATAGACCTCTCCATTGAGAACCAACCTCCCACTCTCTAGCTTTTCCCTCTCTAAAATTTTGCAACCATACCCCTGTAGACCCCACCTCCTCCAAATCCTAAAACCTAGCCACCTCAAACCTTGATCTAAGGGTCTAGATTCGCCAAAAAAGCCCATCCCGAACAATGTCCGGCGTCGGGCCAGACATGTCCATGCGACCAGACAAAATTGCAGCCACCGCAGACTACAACGCCGGTGCTTGTCCTCGAGCTCGCGCTTCATTTCCTGACGTCTAACGCCTCTCGCCATCCGACCACCGGGGCAGCCAGCGACGATCAACAGAGCCACCAGCGGGAACCACCAACCGCCACGCCTCGCCCCTGCTCTCCCGTCCTTCTCCGACTTCCTCCCCTTTCTCTCCCGAGCTCTCTCTCATCTCGCCTTCTCTCTCAGGAACCTCCATGGCATATGTTGAATGGTCGACTTCACCCAACATCAAGCAGATTATTAACATAAACGTATAAAGAGGATATCAAATCCTAATACTAAACGATCTTAAACATACAAGGGTTCATACATATCCCCGAGAACTAGGATCTACTCGCATATCGTGGGTACAAACATCACGGTGTGGATCATGACAAACATAGTGATTGCACAAGAGTAATACAAGATTGAATCCACTCCAACTACTGTATTACATGTTGGGGAACGTAGCAATAATTCAAAATATTCCTACGTATCACCAAGATCAATCTAGGAGATTCTAGCAACAAGAGAGAGAGAGAGGGAGTGCATCTTCATACCTTTGAAGATCGCTAAGTGGAAGCGTTACAAGAACGCGGATGATGGAGTCGTACTCGCGGCGATTCAAATCGTGGAAGATCCGATCTAGCGCCGAACGAACGGCGCCTCTGCGTTCAATACACGTACAGCCCGGGGACATCTCCTCCTTCTTGATCCAACAAGGGGAGAGGAAAAGTTGAGGGAGAGCTCCGTCAGCACGACGGTGTGGTGGTGGAGCTTGTGGTATTTCTGCAGGGCTTCGCCAAGCTCTACGGAGAAGGATGAGGTGTTGGGGAGGGAGGGGCTGTGCTAGGGGAAGGGGTGCGGCAACCCTCCCATCCCCACTATTTATAGGGGAAGG